TCCCTAAGACAACTTAGACATAAAAATATAGTCAATATACACACTGTCAGATATGTAGTTGCTCCCTAAGACAACTTAGACATAAAAAATATAGTCGATATACACACTATCACATATGTAATTGTATCCAGAAGATAACTTGGATATAGAAATATAGTCAATATACACACTGTCAGATATGAAATTGAATCCCTAAGAAAACTGAGTCATAATAATATAGTCAACATACACACTGTCAGATATGTAATTGTATCCCTAAGACTACTATGAAATAGCCTAAGACAACTTGGACATAAAAATATAGTCAATATATACACTGTCAGATATGTAATTATATCCCTAAGACAACTTAGAACTAAAAAAAAAGTCAATATATAGACTGTCAGATTTGTAATTGTACCCCTAAGACAACTTAGACATAGAAAATAGTCAATATACACACTATCAGATATGTAATTGTATCCCGAAGACCACTATGAAATAAAAGTATTGTCAAAACATACACTGATCGATATGTGCAATTAGTGTGTTTAGACTCTACGATCCGTATTCCCTTGTAGTTAAAGATTTTGGGCAACGTTGCGACGCGTAGCACACAACAGATTCTTTGCTCCGGCGATATTGTCAGAAGAAGTGCAGTACATGCGCTTCGTAACCGTAGGGCAGCGCCTGACACCTGACACTCGACACCTGACACCTGACACCTGACACCTGACACTATCAGTGATGTTATGGTCGTGTGTTCGGACTTTCGAGCTCAACAATGATGCATGCGTCAGCCTTCGCTAACAAGAGTTGGGCAAGGCAGTCGCTTGCTAATAGCCCGAGAGCTGACGTACAGTCACGCGTTTGGCGTTTCGCGATCATTTGCCATTGCCTAAAGACATTGGTATGGCAGCTACATACTGATTATGTACTGCACTATAGCAAATATATTTCCACCATTTCAACGAAGATTCGGGTCAGTTGTTATCTATTTCTTTTTGCTGATCACCACTCGCTTGGCATATTCGACATAAATTGCGGTCAGGCGAGGCCCTCTGCTTCATCTGACTGGTGAAGTGCAAGACATCGAACCATAGTACATATTGTCGTATGATACCCAGGTATTCATGATTTAAATTACTTATTGTGTACTAAAGACTTGGTATGATACCCAAGTATTAATGATTTGATTTACTTACTATGTACTAAAGACTTGATATGATACCCAAGTATTAATGATTTAATTTACTTACTATGTACTAAAGACTTGATATGATACCCAAGTATTAATGATTTAATTTACTTATTATGTACTAAAGACTTTGTATGATACCCAAGTAGTAATGATTTAATTTACTTATTATATAATAAAGACTTGTTATGGTACCCAAGTAATGGTTAATTTACTTATTATGTAATAAAGGCTTGGTATGATACCCAAGTATTAATGATTTAATTTACTTATTATGTACCAAAGACTTGGTATGATACCCAAGTAGTAATGATTTAATTTACTAATTATGTACTAACGGCTTGATATGATACCCCAAGTATTAATGAATTAATTTGCTAATCATGTACCAATGACTGGGTATGACACCCATGTATTAATGATTTAATTAACTAATCATGTACTAAAGACTTGGTATGACACCCAAGTAGTAATGATTTAATTTACTAATTATATGGTACCTAATTATTAATGATTTAATATACTAATTATATACTAACAACCTAGAATTGTACTTAATTATTAATGATTCAATTTGCTAACTATATACTCAAACCTCGGTATGGTACCTAATTGTTAAATATTGTGATATGAGCTAGAGCCAATTCATTTCCTCAGCACCATTTGCACGAATATGCGGTTCATAGTCTTCTGCTCCTTTCTGTTGACCACCTCTCGCTTGGCGTATTCAGCGTGTACTACAGTCAGGCCACACCGCCTGAAGAGGGCTTCTGCTTCATCTGCAGGGTAAGGTGAAAGGCAACGGTTCAACAACTGAATACTAACACTATTAATGTCCCAATAGGGTCGCAGTTAACTACACGAATACGCATTCATATTTGTCATTGGGGACAATTGCAAAAAAAAATGAGAATATGGTCATAACGCACAAATTGCTAAGCTGATAAGTGCATCACGTATGGATCAGAAATACATATGAGCATTTAAAAATAAACATAAGTTTCTGCACAATATTGTGCACTTACTGAGGTCAAAGTAGAAAGCTCGGGTGCCATCGTTGCGTACATAGAAGCGGTCGGCTAACTTCGCTCCTGAGAGAATAGGTATCAAGATTGGAAAGAAATATTAAATGACCTACTGCTTGGTATATATATATATATATATATATATATATATATATATATATATATATATATATATATATATATATATGAACAGTAGTCTCGTATAGGTGCAGTAACATGTGAAGACTGAGTGTTTGTGCCTAGAGAGCTCAGTGTCATGTAATCTATAGCATGCTCAAGTGAGAGCTCATTAAGAAATTATGATCGAAGAACTTTTCTTTTCGCGATAAATTGATGAGCAATCTATGAGGAATGTACTCTATAAATTTTCATAAATTTTTGAATTAAGTTGACTCGCAAACCCGATTCTTCGAACGGCAAAACTACAACCGGCATTGTGGCCACAAATACAGACAGACCTACCACTTTTGAATCTCAACATGGCTTCGTCATACATGCCATAGTCGCGGAAGATGACGATCGCCCCGGGTTTTAGCACCTACGAGCAAAACCGCAGGTGTAACGTTAATCATACAACGTATATAGATAGGGTCGCCGACACCCATTTCTCGCAAGCGGTAATATCTCGAAATTGTGCTCGATAATAAAGGAAAAGTGAATGTGGTTGAACGGCAGCAAAATCAACAGCTTTATAATAATGATGCTATCGAGTTAATCGTCATCATTTACATCACTTACCGCTGCTACATTCAGAACTGCCCTGTGCATTTTATTGGGGTGCATAGCAGACAGTACAAACATCAATGAAGCCATGTCTAGGCTCTCGGCGGGTATATTGTCTGTCAACGATGTCTCCGTTGCATCGCATGTGAACACTGTCATGGACTTCGCGTCGAATGCTTCGTGCTCCTGGGCGATGTCAGCGAATACAGTGTGGAATAAGTATTTATACTTATAC